GGGGGGGTCCAGCCACCCGGTCCAGCCGGACAGCATCCCGACGAGACGCCTTCAAGGGCGCCGAGGCGGCCGCGGGCGGGTTACGCAACGGGAACACCGAAACTCGCGCAGATACGACACGTCTAGCGACTGCGATCCCAAAATAGATACAATGTAGAGACCAAAACTTCTGTCCACCGCAGGGGGGGGGGGATGCGAATTTTGTGGCCCATTTGAAACACGCCCCCAATAATGCACCTGCCCGGCCGCCACGGCACACGTTCCCCAGGCGCCCATCAGCGCCGGCCCAGCCCATCACCTGCACCGGCCTCCAGCGCCGAGGGCGACGGGCCGGAAAGGGGTGAGCTCCACGCTTAATATCAGTGTCAAACGGGCCGCGCAAGAGGACAAGACAACTTCGCGCACAGCGGCGCGTTTTCAGCAGCTCCTGGACGGGTCGCGCCCAGGCCGCGGCCCGCCACGCTTCCCCGAGCTTTAGCAGACTCTCTCACTGCCACACCCGGAGCCCTTTTGGCGCCCCGCCAGCGCGGCTGACTGAATCTCCCGCCCCCCCGCGAGAGAGGTAAAGCCCCGCACGTCGCGAACTTCAGCAGCGGGGGCGTGGCCCGGCGCAGCCAGCGATACCACCAGCGACTTACAACAGCAGCGCGGCCAGGCGCTGGCTGCACGAACTCGGCACCCACGCGTCTTTATTTTCACTCTCCTCGCTCCCTAGGGATTTTAATTTCTCAAAACTGGGAAAACTAAACATTTTTAAAAAATAATTCATTTTTTTTTGCAACAAGAATTGATTCTTCTGGAAATCTGTCCATTTCTTCCATTACAGTTTCCAATTTTCACCCGAAACATTTCGGACTGATCCCCATCCCCCCCTCCTTTTCCCATTCAAACAAAACGCCCCGCCAGCAGCGCCGGGGCCCGCGCGCGCGACGCTAGAATTAATGACCTTGATTTCCTCCCATTTAAACAATGCACTTCGCGCATCGCTGCGCCGGTAGATTCGCGCCGGAGAGATCCATCACGGAGGCGCAGCAGCAGCGGTTCGCTCCAGCAGCAGCAGAGCTCTCCGGCGAGGCG